CTCTAAAGAGAAACCCTGTGTCAACTCCTCTTTCTTCCGCCCTGTACCAAACCACGGGGCCACACGGCAGCCTCAAGTGCCTCCTGCCTGACCATCTGCCCAGCCTGCAGGATCTAAGGGCAGCCTGGGCGACCTTGGCAATGATTTATGGTGTGTGCATTCCAACGGGATGAGAAAGGAGAGGGAGGGGCATTTTTTTTTTCTAAACAGCCAGAGTGAATGTAAAGATCCTGCCGCAGAGGCCAGGCCACAGAGAAAGGCCGGGTGGAAATGGTCCATGGTCCATTCAACCCCAGCCCCTTCTTGTGCTCTGTATCACGGAAGCGGTCAGGTGGGTCCTGCCTCTTCTGACCCACCAGCCCTAGAATGCTGTAAGCTGAGTTTGATGGAAGATTCTGGTTGGAACTCAGAAGACCAGAATGCTGATAAAAAGGCAGACGGTAAAGACCAGGCTCAGGAGGTTTTAGTGCAGAACAAGTGCCTTATGGGGAACTCCAGGCTGTGTGTGTTACTCTGGCAGAAAATTTGTCTCCATTTTGCTCATATCCTAAGACTTTATGGGAGACTGAGATTATGAGGCATGGACTAATTCATCAAGTAGAGGAAACCTCCAGGTCAGGTGGGTCAGGAGAGGCAGAACAAGAGAAAAAGGACAGAAGCAGGAGGGAAAAGTAGGGCTAGTTCTGCAGCCGGGCTGCACAGGTTGGAATTTTGGCTCAGCAACTCACCAGCTGCTAAGTTTTGCGCAGAATAACTCACCTCCCAAGCCTCAGTTTCCCCTTCTGTGCAAAGGGAACAATGATACGTGTGTCACAGGGGTTCCGTTAGGATCAAAGGATAGGACACTATAAGGCATCTAGCACAGCTGCAAACATGAAGTAAGTGCTCAATAAATGGAGCGGCTATACTGACCACGCCCATCACCCCCTTGTCCACTGGAGCGTAGGACATGCGTATTGTGGAGGAGTTGTACACAGAAGTGTGTTTTGTTGGATGGTAGCTTTTGAAGCCAAGCAGAAGGTTCAAAACAAAACAGGATTTGACACATGAATGAGGTTTAGGATGTGTAGTTTCCAGACCCTGGACCCAAATCAGAGGCATGGTGCAGCTCCTTTTCCTTCCTCTTCCATCCACTGCTACACAGGCAGAGCTGCTTCTCACTTCTGCTTTATCCCAGACTGAGGCCTGAGCATCTGCTCCCAACACACACACACACACACACACACACACACACACACACACACAAACACACGCTCTTCTTGGGCCATTTTGAGCACCTGTTCCCTCCAGAGTGTGAATGTCCATCATCTTTCGGGATCACAAAGGTCAAAGTCCCCACATGGTGCTGCCCTCTCCCTCCACCACCAGTCAAGGTATGGCCAGGGCTGCAACCTTTCTGGAGGCTCCAGGAGAAAATCTGTTCCCATGAGCTGCCTAAGTCTCTTGACTCCTGGCTGCCTCCTCCATCTGCATGACCATCGGGATCCCGCCCTCCTCTCCTTCTTCCTCTTCCCCTCCCCCTTCTTCCTCTTCCTCTTCTTCCCCTCTCTCTCAAAGTCTCTCTCTCTCCCTCCCTCCTGTCTCCCTCTTAGAAGGAATCTTGTAATAACATTGAGTCCACCGAGCTAATCCAAGATAATCTTCCCATCTCAAGATGCTTAACTTAATCACATCTACAATTGCCCTTTAGCCACATAAAGAAACATACTCACAGGTTCCAAGCACTAGGACATGGACATATGGCGGGGGGGCGGGTGTCATTATTTGTCCTACTATACCTCCTTCCTTCCATCTGATCCAATCTTACTGGCTGCCCTTGCAGAGACAGGAAAGATCCTGACCCTGCACCCTTCCATGTCCAGTGTCTCCACTGGACTGTTTCAAAGTGATGAAAAGTATGACATGCCCTCCAGCCATTTCCTTATTGCAAAATATTTGGCTTTTTTTTAATGCTTATCTTTTCAGCAAGCAAGCTCTCCTCTTCTCCAACTTTGCAGACCCCCAGCCTTCTTTGCAGGAGCTTCCTTTTTGGTGAAACATGAAACTTTTTAAAATCACTCTGCTGTGCTATTTACTCTTAATTCTCAATGTAGAGCTGGCTAAAAGTCCCCAACAGTATCCATACCACAGCCTCAACATTGGGCTGCCTTGAAATTTCCTCTACTAGATTAATTAGTCCATGCCTCATAATCTCAGTCTCCCATAAAGTCTTAGGATATGAGCAAAATGGAGACAAATTTTCTGACAGAGTAAGACACACAGCCTGGAGTTCCCCATAAAGCACTTGTTCTCAACTAAAGGCTCCTGAGCCTGGTCTTTACCGTCTGCCTTTTCATCAGCATTCTGGTCTTCTGAGTTCCAACCAGAATCTTCCATCAAACTCAGCTTACAGCATTCTAGGGCTGCTTCTATGGCCAGTACCTCCAGGCCTTTCCAAACTCCTCCCATGAACCAGTTCCAAAGGCTCCTGAACCATATGATAGCATCATAGCAATGACCCTACTTCTCAGGTACCAAAATCTGTCCTAGTTACTTTCCCATTGCTGGGACAAAATACTTTACACCTATTAGTCAAGGAAGGGAAAGTTTATTTGGGTTCACATCTCAGTCCATGGTTGGCTGGTTCCAAGGCAGCCTTCCCTCTACATCCAACCATTCCTTCAGTCCGTTTTTTCAGCTTTAAGAATGGTGTCTCTTTCTAATTAACACCTCCTTTGGCCCCATGGCTTCCTCCAATCTCGTCCTCATCTCTCTCTCTCCTCCACTCTGATCTCCTATCTGACCAAACTTCTAAGAAGTGGCCATTCTGGCCACCTCCACGAACAAGTTCCCACAGACTCTCTGCAGGGCAGGTCTGTTGTGGGGCCCTGTCCTGTCCTGAGCACAGCACACTGTATCCCAGTAACCCTGGCCTCTACCTGCCAGGGGCTAGGAGTGTACCCCCACTCTGAGTTGTGAAAGACAAAGTGTCTCCGACACTACCAGCTCCCTGGAGGTACCCAACTGCCCTAGGCTGAGACCCACCTCACTGCTAAAGCTACCAGTGACCTCCCAGGCACTGATTCCAGTGGACGCCTTGAAGCCCTTCTCTTCCTTGGCTTCCAAGCAGAATGTGACACATTTGCCCATCAAGGCTGTCACAAACCCCTCTTCTCCCTACACTCTGCCCACACATCTCCATCCCCACTGAGCCCCCAGGCACAGGGGACTCACAAGTGACGTCTCTGAGCCTCCCCCCTAAGCACCAAGCCCATATATCCTCCCCTCTACTACAGGTCACCACTTGGACATCTTGAGGTGACTCCTAGTGCAACAAGGACATAAGAAAAATTGTGACCTCCCCGCTCCACTCCCCTTTCAGCATGCTCCATTTTGCAAAGGAGGGTACCATTAGTTATCTGTGGGGAGAGGAGGACAATGGCAGGAATGGCCCGACACTCTTTAACTCCCCGGTCAAGGCTACAGACGCCACCAGTAAGTCAGACCTTTCACCTCCAAAAGAGTTCACAAGCTGCTCCGCTCCTGCACATCTGTGTCCCCAGGTCTCTGCCATGCTTCCTGTACCATGGTGCCCTCTGCTGCCTTCAGCCGCAGCTCTACAGCAGGAAGTCTTCTCTGACCTCTCGTCACACCCCTGCCCTGGTTGTTCACTTTCTCCCAGCCTCACTCTCTCAAACGTGTGTTTTTCTTCTTCACAGAGCAGGTCCATCTGCTGCCCAGTAAGCTCCGTGAGGACAGGGCTGGCGGCAGATCCAGCCCACCGTGGTACTGGCAGGGCCCGCCAGCGCCCTGCAGAGGAGGCACTCGGAGCAGGAGCATTTATGTGATGATCAGTGGCCTCCCACTGCCCTCCCGCTGCTGTCTGGCAATCAAGCTCAACTCCTGAGCGAGGACTCTCAGAGACGTCACTTGTGAGTGCCCTGTGCCTGGGGGCTCAGTGGGGATGGGGATGTGTGGGCAGAGTGTAGGAAGAAGCGGGGTTTGTGACAGCGTTGTGTTGGGAATCCTTCCTCCTCGTAGCCTTCCACACATCCACCCAACTCCTTGGGGATTCTCCCTGCTACACCGCTCTCAGTATTGCCTAATCTAGCACCTGAGTCCAAGCCACCATCTTTGTTTCACAGGGACCCTCATCCCAGCCTCCTACCTGGGAACTCTACTTTCTATGAAGCACACCGAGGGCTTGCCCTGGCCCTCAGGATGAAGGATGCACTTATCCTGGCTTAGGAAATGCACCAGGACTGCCCTCTACTCTTCTCCACCACCAATTGCTTGCCACTACCTCTTGGGCTTATCACAGCTGCCACCACACCAGACTTTTCCAACCTCCTCTTTCAGCTCCTGGGTCTGTGGAGAGCCTGCTTCCAGCTCCCTCGCAACCCTAGCTGTTACTCATTCTTCAAGTCCCAGGCTAAAGGAAGTTTTCCGCCAACCCCTCAACTACGCCAACAACAACAGTAAGAGCTGCTAGTCACCGTGATCACTGAGCCAAGCATAAATCCCAGAATGCTACCATATTGACTCACTCCATCCTCACCGTCAGCTATTATTAGCCTCGTGCTGCAAAACAGCACAGAGAAGTAAACGACTTGTCCAAGGTCACGTTCGATAGTAAATACCGGGGCTAGCTCCCATCACACACAGGCTGCAGACTGCCACGCCCCTCTGCGTTGAGTTGCCAGCGCATCCTGTGCTGCCCTTTTGGGGACCACATTCACACATGTTCATGCTCGTGTGACACTTTTCTTCTCCCAAGACCACTGGAGCCCTGCGGGCTGGGGCCACTTCTGTCTTGTGAAGACTTTGCCTCCAGCACCCGGCCCAGTACCTGGAACGACTGCTTTCAAGGTTGAATGTCATGTTCTGTATCCCCACTGCCTCCAGCTCCAAGCCATCCGCAGGTGGCAGAGCAGCTCTTGGGCCAGCATATGGCTCCCCCTGCTGGTTTCCTTCCATGTCCCTGGCCACCTCTTCCGCGGAAGAGCCCAGGGGACACTCACCAGCCACGAGAAGAAGCCAGCCGATTTGTCCTGGGTGGAGATCTGCCCCTCGTAGGGGCCAAAGATGTGGCCCTTGGGGATGACCTCGTTTATGCATCGCACGTCGCTCTCTCCGCCCGCGTCCTTGACCACCTCCACGCCCTGTGGGATGGTGAGGGCCGCCCGGTCGGGGATGCCCACGGGCACTGGTGTGTCAGACACAAACACCGGGGGTCCATGGTTGGGGCACTCGTCCACAAAGTACTCCTGGCAGGACTCGCAGACTGGACAGAGGGAAAGAAGAGGCGGGGCCTCAGCTGCGATGGGAGGAGAGGACCGCCACGGAGGAGGCCTCGGGGCGAAGGGGAGGACCACCCGAGGACAGGGGACAGTGGACTCCGGAAGCGTGGCCCTGACCACCCCTCCCAGGTGCGGGCACAATCACCCGTTATCTTCTCGGGGAAGCGAAGGACACCCTGCCGAAAGCGCATGTCAAGTTAGGAAATGGGGAAGGAGAGCCAGGCTTTGGGCTTCAACAGGTCGGGTTTGAGTTGCCATTAAACATCTATGGGCTGTGGGACCTGGGACACAACATGGAACCCTCACCAAGCCTCTGTGTTCTCACCTGGAAAGTGGGCCAACAACGAGGTCCAAAGGCGGCTCAGGCCTGCACCTGGCGCCCCACACAGCAGTGCCTATCCCAGTGCCTGCCGCTGCCCCTGCCCCTGCCCCTACCCCTGCCCCTATCCCTATCCCATCTGGGTTGAAGGGAGGAACAGCCCAGAGCCTTCAGTCTCACTTACACCAGAAGTCCACTTGCTGGAAGCTCTTGGGCACGATGAGGTCACGCTTCCCCTTCAGTTTCTTGGGCTCAACTTCCATGGCCAAGGGCTCTGGTCTCCTAGAGCTGATCAAGTCAGGAATCAGCAAAGGAAGCAGAGAAACCATCAGAATAAGAGCGCGGTGAGGAGAGGCTGGGGGCCTGGCAGGGGCAGGCAGAGGAGCCCCAGCGGACCTGCTATCAGGGTGGATAGGGATAGGAAACGGGAGTCCTGTGACCCCGGGGGCCTGCCCTGAGCAGGTTAAGGAAAGTGGGCAGGGAGGTGGAACTTTCCCTGGGCTCCCAAGCCACCAGCCAAGCCACCCTGCGTCCTGTCCCACTCTCCACACCCAGACAGGGGCCTCACCAGGGCTGGCCATACTCCTGGTCTCGGATTGGAGAGCAGACCTCCGTCTTCACCACGGTCACCATGTCACCCACCGCTGCCTTGGTCTGGGCCAGACACTCCTTCATATTCTCAGTCATTCTGTCCTGGGGACGCGGTAGGCGGGACCAGCACAGAAAGAGGATCAAAGAGACAGGGGAAGAGGGGTGAATGGCGGAGAGGGCAGGCAGGGGTCCCTCGGAGTCTGGTTACCCTCCCTGCATCCCCAGAGGAAGCGCTGCAGAACACAGACAACAAAAACAGCTGTAGCCCGGCCAAGAGGAAATGCCATTTCTATCCCGGGCTGGTCCTAGGGACGACTGGAGCCACCGGCCCCATGGGGTCAGGGACCCGGGCAGCTCGGGCCAGGAGGCTGGGCTGGGAAGCGCTGCCTGGACCCCAAGATCGAAGGGCAAAGGGCATGAGGCGCCCGCAGGAGCCTGGGCATTAAACTCTACAAAGCGGAGCCCCGAGGGAAGAACTCCGGCCCAACTTGGGCCAAGAGGGTGGGCACAGAGCCGGACCTCAGCGCCTCGACCTGGCGCAGGCAGACGAGGGGCAGGTACGGGCGGGGCTGCAGTGCGGGGCGGGCCGGCCAAGCAGCCCCGGCTCCAAGCCCCACCCCTCGGTCTGGGCGGCCTCTCCGCTCCACGCTTACCGCCCTCACCACCGCGCCGGGCTTCAGGCCCTCCCTCGGCACCCCGGGGTCCTCATGCCAAGCCCGGGGACACTCTTCGGGCAGGGACAGCGCGCTGCAGTTCGGGCTGGGATTGCGCTGGGCCCCGGGACTGGGCGAGGGGCGGGTGTGACTCACAACCCGGGGCCCCGCTGGCCACACCCCTGCTCCGCGGCTAATCAGCCCCCTGCTCCCCACCGGGGCCCCAAAGCCGCCGGCTGCTGGGAGGGGTTTGGGAGGCAAAAGGCCGGCCCCCTCCCCCGGGCCGGC